TTTCCAGCCTGATTTTCAGTGGTTGATGTGCTGAGCTTTCCCTGTATCTTTGGAGAGATGCTTCCATATCCCGGTACCCGTTACGGTTCTGTTTGGAGGTGATGCTCATCTGACGAAAGTCACAGTTTCTTCACAGCCAGTTCTCCAACCTTGAGTACAGACTTTCCTGATTTGTTGGTGATTTCTGTTCCCCAGTATTCCCCTTGCCTCCTCCTTTGCTTGTGGGCAGATGTGACACAACAGGGAAGGGTTAGGGACAGGACTGAAAAAAAAACAGCACTCTTACTGTACAGTGGTATCTGCCCTTAATTTTGGAATTGGCTGCTATTGCTCTGCAGGGACTCTTGGCTAATTAAAGTTCAGATAGTTAGATAATGCTGTCTCAACGTACATCCCTGATGCTGCACTGTTTATTCATGTCAGGTATTCATAAGACAGTTGACATTTTCTTCTTTAAAGATCTCTCAGGTAAATTACAGGCATTTTACTGCTCTGACCTTTTCCTTTACATGAAGAACTTCTGTTTTGACCATTTTTTTTGTGAATAGAATCATAGAATCATAGAATCATTTAGGTTGGAAAAGACCTTTAAGATCGTCAAGTCTAACCGTTAATAATGTTAGACCATTAATAATGTTAGAACAGATGTAACTGGAGAGGTATAGTTGTTCTAGTCTGTATAGTTGGGCTATTACCTGTAATGATCCTCTAATACTGGTATTTATAAGTGATTATCTCTTACCAAACTACTTTAAATTTAAAGAAAAAGCCAGACTGTTTCACTAAATGCTTTTGGTGAATCACCTTTTCCCTTCCTTTCTCTGAATACTACATTTGCTTTCCTAACACATTCATTTTGTGCCTGAGTCTTAGAGAGATGGCTTGCTCTATTAATACATTTCTGGAGTTCTCCTGTTATGAATAGCCTTTTATGGCTTTAATGTAGTTTTTGAAAATTCCTCTATTATTGATCTAGATATTATCCCAGCAGGAGTCAAAACCACAAGACAATTGTGTGAGGATAATTTCTTACTACAGTAGCATTTTATTCTGAAAGCCTGCTGTGTGGTGTGTGCTTTGATGGATGACCCACTGTTTAAAATGTGTATTAGACATTGGCTTGCTAATTAAATGCCTTAAGGAGCGCCTGTACCCATTCAGTCTCAGTAAATTTGTGGAATTTCTGTTATTTTGTTTCTTGCTTACGTTCTTATGTTTACTTCTTTCTGTTTTCTGACTTTGTAGAGAAGAATGAGAGTAATGGCAAAAAATCAAATTACTTTCTACCCTCACTCAAGAGTTTCAGCTTAGGGCAGAGGCGAGACAATGAGGGCTCTTGGTTTTAGGACTAGGTCTGCCAGATGGGAGGATGAGGAGGAGAAGAGGTGGGTTTTGCATTTCAGAAGGGAGTGAGAAGAGCACTCACCTGGAATTTGAGAGATCTGAATTTGGATCCCTCTTTCCTCCTGAAGGACCATCTCCCATGTCTCAGAAGAGGACCATAATTACAAAGCTGTGAGGTGCTCTCAGACTTCTCTGTTGAAGTGCCTGTGCTTGAAGCATTTTACTGGGAGGGAGAATGTGAGACCATTCATAGCTGAAGAAAGGGGATAAAGTTCTCCTCCTAATCTCTGAGCTGTTAAATTGAAAGAACAGCCACGGAGAGGGGCAACGACTTCTGCACAGCTCCAGGAAATGTTTCCTGAATATAATCCCAGTTCCTCTTGTTGTTTTTTGTTTTGTTTGGTTTGGTTTTGGTTTTTTTTTTTGTTTGTTTTTTTGCGGGTTTTTTTTGTGTATTAATCAGAAACAGTATATTTGCTGCTAAGGCAAAACATAGAATTTCTTCTACTCAGAAAGATTTGGGCTTTTTGTTCTAGACAGAGGGATGTGTAGAGAATTATAGAATGGCTTGGGTTGGAAGGGACCTTTAAAGATCATCTAGTCCAACCCCCCTGCCGTGATCAGGTTGCTCAAAGCCCCGTCTAACCTGACTTTGAACACTTCCAATGATGGGGCATCCACGACTTCTATGGGCAACCTGTTCCAGTAGGAAAGAATTTCTTCCTTATATCCAATCTAAATCTACCCTCTTTCAGTTTAAAACCATTACCCCTTGCCCTATCACTACAGGCCCTGGTAAAAAGTCTCTCTCTATCTTTCTTGTAAGCTCCCTTTAAGTATTGAAAAGCAGCAATAAGGTCTTCCTGACACCTCCTCTTCTCCAGGCTGAAAAATCCCAACTCTCTCAGCCGTTCTTCATAGAAAAGGTGTTCCAGCCCTGTGACCATTTTCATGGCCCTCCTTTGGACCTGCTCTAACAGGTCCATGTCTGTCTTGTGCTGGGGGCCCCATAGCTGGATGCAGGGCTCCAGGTGGGATCTCACAAGAGTGGAGGGAGAGAATCGCCTCCCTTGACCTACTGGCCATGCTTTTGATGCAGCCCAGGATACGGCTGGCTTTCTGGGCTGTAAGCACACATTGCTGGCTCATATCCTATTTTTCATCCACCAGTATCCCAAAGTCCTTCTCTGCAGGGCTGCTCTCAAACAATTCATCCCCCAGTCTGTACTGATACTGGGGATTGCCCTGACCCAGGTGCAGAACCTTGCACTTGGCCTAGTTGAACTTCATGAGGTTCACATTGGCCCACTTCTCAAGCCTGTCGAAGTCCCTCTGGATGGCATCCCTTCCCTCAAGTGGAAGCTGTGGCACGCAGCTCAATGTCATCTGCAAACTTGCTGAGCGTGCACTCAATCCCACTGTCTGTGTCAGTAATAAAGATACTGAACAGCACTGGTCCCAATACGGACCCTTGAGGGACACCACTTGTTACTGATCTCCATTTGGACATTGAGCCATTGACTGCAACTTTTTGTATGAGGCCTTGCAGCCAACTCCTTATCCATCAGACAGTCCATCCATCAAATCCATTTATCTCTAATTTGGAAACAAGGATGTTGTGTGGGGCCATGTCAAAGGCCTTACAGAAGTCAAGTTAGATGGCATCTGTTGCTCTTCCCTTATCCACCAATGCAGTGACTCCATTGTAGGCGGCCACCAGATTAGTCAGACAGGGTTTGCCCTTTGCGTAAGCCATATTGACTGCATCTAATCACCTTCCTGTCATCCATATGCCTTGACATATCTTCCAGGAAGATCTGTTCCATGATCTTAATGGGCGTAGAGGTAAGGCTGACTGACTGGTAGTTCCTAGGGTCCTCCTTTTTACCCCTTTAAAGAATGGGTGTGAAGTTCCCCTTTTTCCGGTCACTGGGAGCTTCGCCTGACTGCCATAACTTTTCAAGTATGATGGAGCGCGGCTTAGCAACTACATCAGCCAGTTCCCTTGGGACCCTGGGATGCATCTCATCAGGTCCCATGGACTTGAGTATGTTCAGGTCCCTCAAAGGGTCTCAAACCTGATCTTCTCCTGTGATGGGTGGGACTTTATTCCTCCAGTCCCTGCCTTGAGATTCAGGGACTTGAGAGATGTGGGATGAGCAATTGCCAGTGAAAACTGAGGCAAAATAGTTGTTGGGTACCTCAGCCTTCTCCATGTCAGTTGTCACCAGGTTCCCTGTCTCATTTATCAGGTGGGAATGAAAACATTGATTCATCTAAACCAAAGCAAACGAATTGTTTTCTGTTAAACCCAGTAATTAATACTATTTTTTAAAGATTCGAGTTGAAGGCCAAATTTGAATAAAATGATTGTTCTATAAGAATTACCGTCTTGAGAACAAACCTGCAGGTTTGAGAACAAACAAGCAGGTGGACCTGCTTGGACAGGGTGGCTGGACAAGATGACCTCCTCATGAGGTCCCTTCCAATCTCAACCATTCTGTGAAACCTTTAAACCCCAAATAGCTGTGTTTGCAAAGGAAGTAATTCTGTTTTCATTACTGTCATCAGCTGTCTGGAAGCACAACTTGTTTTCTTTCACTGTAACTGCTCCTTGCTTATTTGAAAGAAATGGAGGCAGAATCTAGCTCTTTGTGTTCCTAAAGCAAGGCCTGGCGTCAGATGCGTTAGGAGGAGGAAGGTCCCTGGTTTTCTTCTGAAAGTGCTTGCAGAACACATTCAAGGCCAAATCATGATGTTATTTTCATCTGTGTCCTTGCACATGTAATTATCTGTGTCACTCCACCCAGAGAGCTCTCACTGATGCCTTCAAGTAGAGAAAAGTGCCCTATGTTCAAAATAGACTTCAGTGGTGCAGAGAAGGAATCTGTGGTCTGAACCAGAGAATATTATTTTATTCTCATTAATGAACCTTACTTTAGCCCGTGGAGTAAGTGTGTAGGATTAGGTGAATTAAAACTAATAAAAGCAGGCAGAAAATTAGGGAACACATCTCCTCTCAGTTGCCTTTGGGACAATTTAGCCCAAACATGGGATTTGGAGATTCCTTGTGGGGCTGGTCATGTGCACCCAGGCTCTCAAGGATGGGTGATAGGGTTGTGGTGGCACTCTGTTATCTCCGTGAAACTCCTTTCCTCACCAGCACCATCCCCTTGACGGCAATGCTAACTGCTGTCATTTCTTCCTCTTTCTCCTCCTGCGTAGAAGGAAATTGCTGATACCTGTTCATCAGGCCTATGCCGTGCTTTCCTGTAATTTGTCTGACCTGTGTTTTCATGGAAGTGATTGCTTTGGGGCTGCTTTGCAGCCCCAAGGCACTTGAATATCCCAAACACTCCACTGATAATTGCATTTGGTGGTTAACTTCTTCAGGTAAAGGCAACAGGTTTCTCAGTTCAGGATGCAGTGAGAAACAGCCATGTCCACTCCATCAAATGCTGATTTATACAGGTTTTGTTATTTTATAAGTTCAGTGCTGCAGAACTCGGAAGTAGAAACTCTCTTGCATTCACTGGAGATGAGGGCAAAAAAAAAAAAAAGAGAAAAGAAAGGAGAGAAAGGCACATTTTGGGAGGTAGAGGGGGAGGAATTTATTCTAATCCTTCTGAAATTATTGTCTTGCTGAAAATTGTTAGATCTGGATGGACTAAGCCAACTGAGTTACCAAGACAACCTATCCTATCGTGAAGATGACCATCTATCTGTTGATTCAAGAACAACAACTGAGAGCAGGGGCACTGGGCGGTGTAAAGGGCCTAGGATGGAGTCCAGTATTGCCGATGGCGTTAGCCGGCAAGCCACAGAAGGACGTTTGGAAATGGAGACAGCATTTACCAACCAGGGATTTGAAGTAAATGATGCTACTGACAGCTCATCGGCTTGGAGCCCTGAGGTATGGTGAATTGTCATTTATTACACATGGTGTAAGCTTTCGAAGGATGTTGGGGGCCAAAAATATTAGGGAAGAAATGAAGGGAAAAATTGATCAGCACAGCACAAGATAATGGTACTCCTGTGTGCATGTGTGCATGAACATACACCTCTCCCTCTGCGTTTCCCCTTTTTCTTGTATTTTACCTCTTGCTACTAACACTCATTCAGAGAAGCTGTTTTATTGCTTGATTTCTGACTGCAATCTTGGAACTGAAATTGTAGCCATTAGCTGCCTGACAGCATTTACTATCATTTAGCAGTGGCCCTGGGCTTTGTTACTGGCTGTATGTGCAGGGTGTGTCTAGGGACATGGTGTGTGGTCACTGGGTCAGATCTGTGCCTCTTTTTCCGAGTGGTTTCTATGGCTTAGACAGTGGGAAGCATCTGGAAAGCTGGAGGCAACTGGTGGGGGTGGCCTGTGACTTGGCCAAGTAACCATCACTCTGGTCCCCATTGATAGCAGGCATCCTTCTAGGGAAGGAGAGAGCCTGAGAGCTCCTCTGCTTTGCCCTAGTTCTGTACCTTTATTTTGAAGCCTCAAGAAAACATTACAGATTTTAAGGCATTGTAAACACCTGATGACTTAGCATCCCCCTTTTCTCTTATAATCTTTCTGTGTGATGTGTTGGTTTTCACTATTATTTTACCACAAGATTAAATTTCTGAAAAAATATCAGCCTGCATCAGACATATTAAAAGAATGGCACAAAGGTCACATCTTCTGCCTGAGTTAAAAGAGACTGTTTTTCAGCTGTGGAAATTAATACCTCCCTCACACTCAGCAACAAGGTTTGAGGGAAAGGTTCCTTTCCTCAGAGCATGCTGCCTGCAGCCAGTTAAAGAGCTGGAAAGCAGCTCCTCAGTTCATCTGCTCCAGCCCTAAGGGGTGTTTTGAACAGCATTTTGGTTAGCTGCACAAACCAGTCCCACATAATACTACACAGCACATGGGAACTCCCCGCGGCAGCAGCCCTGCGCTCTCTTTGCTGTGTGCCTCTGACATACACTGTTTGTCTGCCTATCTGAGGCTTATTTTTCCTTTTCCACATTTGCTGTACGTTGCCGTGGTTCACGTGCTGCAATGTCGCCAGTGTTCTTATATTTCTTTGAAATACGTCTCTCATTTTGCTCCTGGTATCTGCATTTTAAAAATGCAAAGAATGGTTATAGCATCAGGGGGCAGATATGCCCAAGTCCCAGTTTATTTACTACAAGCAGCTTCTCATCCAAAGGTATTGTGTGGATTAATGAAAGACTTTTTATTGCAGGAACTAAGTGTTCTAACGTGCCAGAAATGTCCAAGCGCTATTATGCTCCACTCAAAGGACCTCTCTTTAGAGACAAAAATGATCATTTTATGCCCCTGCAGTGGAACCACAAGTACCATTTCAAGCCTTGTCCATAATTAGCTGCTCTTTCAGGTTTCTTTGTCAGAAATGGACTTATTTTACCTAGTGAAGTGGATATTGGCTGTCCTGAGTGACCGGGTTAGACATACAGTATCAGTCAGTATACTTGGCTTGACATCTCAAGAACTGTGCTGGGAAGAGGGAAAGAAAGAAATTCAGATGAAGTATCTAAAACCCACGCCTTCCTTGGATTCTGGTTTAAGTGTCTGTATAACCAATACGTTCACAAAGGGCTCATAGTCCCAGCTGACCTCTGAAAGCCAAGGGGAATTCTGTCAGTGATTTCCACAGAAAGAAGATCGAGCGTCTGTAAGCTTTGTGTGCAGAAAACCTGTACAGGGTGAGTCCCAGATAGCACAGTGCTCCCTGAAAGAGCCAGCCCATGAGGTCTCTAAAGCTTGGTTGCCCACAGAAAGGTCACTGCCACAGAGTTTGGCATTTCTCTTTCCCCCTCTGCCTCCAGTTCATGCAGTTTTCTCTGCAGTGGATGTGGCCACAGCTATAGTAGCATAATTTGAGATTTCCTGAAATCCACATCCTTTCTAGCTGTTCTGTCAAAAACCAGATAGCCGACCTTCAGTCTGCCCTACACGCTGCCAGAAGATGAGATACTCAGCCCTGTTGGGGCAGGAACGTGCTTCTTGGATCTTCGTACCTGTGGGTTTATGATGATGCACGGGAGTTCGCGTTCTCCAGCTCAGGCATGTAGATGAAAGCAAAGTTATGCCACAAGCACAGGTGTCTCCACTCTTTAGCAGCAGTTCTCAAATGTGCCTTGATTCCATCTCTTCAATAGCAAACACACAGATGAAAGTGGGGAGGGATGAACATGTGGAGGGAAACATGAATCAAGCACAATCCCATTACGTGTCCTTCTTAAATATTATTTCATCAACCAGACAGAAATAACTTGACATCTACACAGCAGCACTTACATTTGCATAACATCACGTTCTCTCCAGGCAACCTGGCCTGCCTTGCATTTTTGTCTTTGCAGCCTGCTGTTCATACAGAAAGGCACTTTTGTGGGCAACCAAGTAATTCTGTGTGCTGTCCAAGTGGTGATTTTTCTCTCTTCGATGTTACTTCTGCAAGACGTATGACAGGTCTCCATCGCTAATGCACGCATGTGGACTTTTGTATTCACGTGCACGTGTCCCTTAAACACCTATGAAAATATGAAAAGCTGGAGCTTTGCACATCATGGCAGGTGAATCTGAGCACTTGAAAAGCAGATTGATAGGAAGTAGATATAAATTTTGAGGTTTGTCCGAGGTCTTGTTTGAGACACATACCACCCAAGACACTTCTGAAGGGTATTACATGAGAAGTCCTATGGCCCATCATCTGTACTCTGAACAGTAAGATTCCTCTGTTGAAAAGAAGTGTTACTTGAAATGCGAAAGAAGATAAATGTTTGAGGAGGAGGGTGACTCAGACTGCTAGTGACAGGCCTTAATTCACCTTCTGGCTATTAACTGAAAATCTTAAAAAAACCTAATACAGTGTATACTCGTGTTTAAATACAAATCATTGATCGCTATAGCAACCCCTTTATCACATGAAGCACATTTCTAGCTCTAAGATAAAAAAGCACTTTTGAACAGAAACGCACACACCCACACATCAAAAGGTAAGGTGAGCATCCATGTTTTCTGTCTTGTTTTATCAAGATGATTTTTATTTTAAAAGTAGGTAAAAGATTGTGTGTGAATTGGTCTGCCCATGTTTTGATTGTTTATTTTGAATTTTTATTCTGAATGTATTAGTATCCAAACTGAACAGAAGGAACAGATGCTTCTCTTGGGAGATTTAAAAAGGGAATAAAGAATCAATATGTATTTAATCAGACTTTCTTGATTATCATTGCTTTAATTGTAGGAAAAGTGTTGGATTATAGGGTAGCATCTAGAAATGGAATTTCCATTCTGCAAGAAATTCTGATGTGGTGATTTCCCCTCCCATCAATTTGAACACAGTGCTTAATTTTTTTTTTTATTTCAACAGAACAAAATATCCAAAAAGTCATCAGGTTTGACTGAATTGTTTGATTTCAGTACTGTAAAAAAATCCATTTTGAAAAAATTCCAGTGTATGTTCAAAGTAATAGGTTAAGTTGGTTTTTTTAATCAAATTAAACCAAAAAGTTTCATTAATGCCTCAAAATTGAATGAAATTTTAAAACCCCCTTTGTTTAGTTTTTCCCTATGTTGAATTTTTGCAAATTAAGTCTCCTGCAAAACACTTAAATCTTGATGAAACTTTTTGTTGGTAATGTTTCAACAAGTGCTGTTGCTTACTAGATTGTATGGGGTATATTAGACAAAATCAGGCTATTAACTAGCCCTGGCTTTTCAAGAAACAGTGGGATCCTTATTTTGCAGAGCAACTGCCTACACTTGCAAGCAAAAGTGAGGAGAATAATTTTTTTTTAAATAGAGTTGGGATCACAGAGGCAGTTGAACTCCAATGGAGGTTTTACTTCTTCCTTCTCTTTGCAGGAACATGATAAAGTGAACACTGTACCAGCTCACGAGCCCATCTGTAAATGTGGTGATCTAGATGTCATCTTCAACTACAAAGCCTCAAGTCAAAAGCTAGTAGTTACTATCTTGGAAGCCAGGGATATCCCAGACAAAGATCGCAGCGGTGTGAACACCTGGCAAGTGCACACAGTCCTGATGCCTAGCAAGAAACAGAGGGGTAAGACAAGTGTTCAGAGAGGACCCATCCCCATGTTCAAGGATAAAATTACCTTCAGTAAGCTGGAGCCAGAGGAGTTAAGCAGCCACGCCATTCGTTTCCGCCTCTATGCGGTGCACAGGATGATTGTAGAGAAGATGATGGGAGAGCAGTTCTTCTACCTGAGCAACATCAGCCAGGAAGGGGAAGCGAAGGTGACGTTGGTCTTGGAGCCAAGGACTAATTTGAGCGTAAGTTTGATGAAAGAAATGTGGAGTCCGTAAAATTGTTCATCTGGCGAATGGGGACCAGCTGTACCTGATATCTTTCATTCAGGGCTGTTAGGATGCAACTGGTGGATCTGTCCTGCTGTCACTTAAAAAGTTATCAGTAAGGGGAAGCACAGGGCATCTGTTCCCTATACAAAGCTGTGCCTTGTTAACAACGGCTCAGCTAGTGAGCTTACACAAAATCATGTAGGTGTACCACATCTACACAAGTCATCAAATGGTGTGCCACGCAGAAATAGTAGGTTGGTCCCAGAACCACCAAGGCTAATTCCATCATAATTTCAACAAGGACAGTAGTTCTTGTGCACCGTTATGTTGGTAGACCTGTACTACTGCCAGTGCAAGAGCTACCTCATTTGGCACTAATTACCAGCTTGTGGATCTCTGTGTTGTGCAGTTTCCATGTTACCAGAAATGCTTAGTAATGTTCCTTTTCATGACAGATGGAAGTGGAGAGGTGGGCCATGTGAGGAGGGACTGGCTCTGCTGCTTCGTAGTCTTCGTGCACATCACAGTTGTATCCAGCTCTGGCTATGCCAATCAATTTGTGTAGATGAGCTCTGTCATGATTCATTGTCTACAAAAAGCTCAGTGAGAGGCTGTGCACATGAAATGAATAAAACATCTCTGGGTGAAGAGGGGGTAGAAAGAGCATCATGGTAGCAAGGAAAGAAAGTAGGAAAATACACAGTACCTGACAAAACAAAACTGCAAAATGCATTCCATCCAAAAGTCACTGTCAAGGAGATTTACTGTGCATTTGATGTGGTAGGATGTATGCTTAACTCAAAGACTTTGATTTACACTAGTGATAACACGTTATGCAGCGTTCCTCATCTTTAAAGAGAAAGTTCAGAGATGTGTTTTTGTAAAAGTGATGCTCTGCTTCTTCTGGTGCCCTGTAATAATTCATTCTTAGTCGTTGTCATTTCTTAAGAGAGATCTTACTAAAGAAGGCTACAAGATATAAATTCAGGGAGGGTGGTGGTGGTGAATGTCCTGATGAGACTTTCGGTGCTCTTTATTAGTCTGTCAGCAATCTCTCACAGTGATAGCGCTTCTTCAACACAGTCCCTGTCGCATGGAGGGGTGCCAGAGCTGCTCGTGGGATTGTCGTACAATGCCACTACGGGGCGGCTGTCAGTGGAGATGATCAAAGGCAGTCATTTCCGAAACCTCGCAATTAATAGGCCACCTGGTAAGTACTTTCACTGCTATTAAATAACACCATTGAGTCAAAATTTGCTTTTTATTTTCTTCCTCAAGATATTCAATTATGTAATTTCTGAGCTGAGTTTCCTTGCAGAGTATCTGATTGAAAATTAAAAGCATTATTTCAAATACGTGTGCTGGTAAATTTTACAGTGTAATTGGAGGCAATCGTATGAAGACACAGCTGACGGGACAGTAACACCTGAATGTCTCTTTTATTGCATATACCTTTATGTCTGATTATGGCAAAAGTGCTATTATACCCAAAGCACAGAGTAATTCTCAGCAGATCCATAAAAAGAAAGAAGTGCTTTTCAAGCGATTATATGTTACCATCTGACCTACAGAGGCCCTGCCTAGTGCCATTAAGTGTTTCCCAGGACTATAATTTGTTTAGTCCCCTTGCTGTGCTCCTGAGTGCTAGGTGACCTGGTGCTTTGGGCCCTTTGGGGATCCTACTGCTGTGACTTCTCCACTGCCATACAAAAAGATCTTCTGCAGAAAGAAGATTTGAAAGTTGTTCTTCTGGGTTGTAACAGTTGAGTTCCCTTCCTCCGATACCTGGAGGAAAAAATGGAAATTGCCTTACAGTAGGTTTAGTTAGTCTCTGAGCTGTAGTTAGCCCTTGGGATGGATAGTGGGTGGACGGTGCTAATGCCCACAATATAAACGGGGTCATGCAGCCGCAGTGCATGGTGTTATCTGCTTTGCTGCTGGTGTGCCTCATTCAGGGGTTGAATGGCAGTGCTGTATTCATCTCGTATTGTCCTTTTGCCTCCTGTCTGAAACCAGCAGCTAATGGCAATGTGAAATAACATTTTTTTTTTGCTTGTTGGTGTGTTTGCTTTGTGTGATGTCGTTGCCTGCCTGTCAAAGGTAATAACCTTTGACAGTTCCTTGCATTCACTGGATTTGACACAGTATCTCCAGCTTGCAAAATGCTAAGATTGCTTTTGCAAGATGCTGTGCTCTTTGGCCCAGAGCTAGCAAAATATTTATGTAATATTTCAGTATATGGACGTGAAAACTTAAGTTTCCACTAAACTATACTTCAGTATATTACAGAAATAATCTGTGTCATCAGTCAGTCCTCAAGAATTAAGGGCAAGTATATGCAACAGTAAAACACATGACCCCAGTCTGTGGAGCCCTAGCTGGTCTTGTATTAGCTGTGGCAACATAGGTCTCCATGTGAGTTACTTAAAGACATGTTCTTGTTTGCATGTACATGTTTTATCGAAAGGTTTCAAGTTAGGACCTTTTTAGTAATTTAAAGCAAAGGTAGACTAAGACAAGAGTCTTACCGCATGCTCGAGAAAGCAAGTTCGCCTGTGTTTATATATGCTGCAGTGTAGATGCATCCTAAAGTTTTCTTCTCAGAAATAAAATTGAAGTAGTCCTAATATAGGTCCAAGTTAATTTGCTGCAGTTTTTTCTGGTGTGTTTTCATGTATTTACCTGTGGTATTCGAGTTTTGTCTCTTAGCTGCCTGAAGCTAAGAACTGTGCAGCACTTCTGTTCTTAAATCAGGCCCTGCATAAGTTGTCTTGTATCTGGCTGGGTCAGGCATCTGTAATGCCCCACTCTTTTCCCATAAATGAAATGTCTTTACTGCAGAGAACTCAAATAATTGCCTTCCAGCTTACTACCTGCAATAGCATGAACAAACAACTGATTTTTTTCGGTGTTCTTCTAACGAATGTCTTTCTGGGTGCATGTTGTATAGCTCTGTGCATTGCAGTAAGGTGACAACCCTGTAACTCACTGTCTGTGAGTGCTGGGGAATTGTGTTTGCCCTGGGCCTCTGGTGGGATGGGGTTTGGCAGATCAGCCTTGTGGCACAGGTTAGCTTTCAGCACGGGAAAGTTTAGCTGCCGTGATTAGACGTCCCATTCAGCTTTTTAGCTGGTGGGCGCACAGGAGTACAGTAACTTGGTTGGCAGCATCTTTAAACCTGAGAAGCATTTTGTGTTTGTTGATGAGATGAGAACAGGAGCAGGAAAGGAGAAAAAAAGGCATTCCTTGAAGGAGCTTTAATTTTAAATTCTGCCTGAATTTTCCATTTCTGTGTTTGTAGGGCTTCAGATAAACCTCGTTAAATGGGTTTGATAAGCTAGCCAAAGTCTTCTGTCAGCCACCTAAACTAATGGTCCTGACTTTGTTTCATTACCGTTCTTCCATCTTTGCTGTTAAGGCTATCTTGAGTTGTTTCTTCGTATCCTTTCTGTATCCAGGTCAACTTTAGCGTTGTCAGACCAGTATCTCTCAGTGTTAGATCAGTTATTAGGTGAAACATGGAAATTCATAAATGATTACAGGCAAATTCCAAACCTATAAGAGTCTGCTGCTTTTATTCCAAGTCACATATTGTTTCTTCTACATTCTGCATTGTTCTTCTGCGCCTCTGAAGTTCCCAGTAGTGTGGTGAGAAAAGGAAAACAGTGAGGCAGAAATGAAAAAAAGTTAAAAAGAAGGAAGAAAACCAGCACTCGTTTCAGATGCTGGAGTAGCAATTCACTGATAACTCCTGCAGGTGCTGCAGAGGAGTGCTGTGAGGTCCGATCGTTACTGTCTGAAACATGCTGGTGGCTGAATGAGGTGCTCGATAAGTCCTTCACTAGGTGAAAACTCAAACTGCTATCTCCCTTTCTGGAGGGTAAGCAAATAGCCCTTGTGTTTTCTCAGATACGTCCTATCTGCAGTTCTGTTGTTTGCGGCTCAGAGGGAGTGATTTATTTCTTTAAAATATCATGGGGATTTCAGACATAATAGCACTTCGGGGCACTTAAATACCAAGCCCAAACTGCTATTCAGGGCAGCCATTTATGGTAAGCCTGAGAGAAGTCTATGGGCAGAATCCATCTCCATTCCCAGCCCTGCATGCACGGAGCGTGGTCCTGTCGCAGCCCAGTGCCTTTAGTATTGGCTGCTGCTGATAGCTGCAGCTATGGGGAATGGCAAGAGAGTCTTGCATGACAGCAAATTCTCCAGCTGTGCTTTTTGCCCACCTTCACCCTCTCCTCTGCCACCTGCGGTCTTGCACAGGTCAGCTCAGCATCTCCTGCAGCGTGTGTGCTCCCTCCTCGGAGAGTTTGCATGGATTTCATTCTGTGCAGAAGAAAGAACTGGACTGGGGCATTGGTGATTTTAGGTGGTAAAGACTGCAGAGGCTAAACCAGATGGTTTTCTGGAGAAGGAAAGGAAGATTGTGCATGTCTCGGTTTTTCCTGGGCACATCTTCTCCTTCACTTAAACCTTTAAATGGGATGCAGAGAGTTAAACTGAGTCAGGTAAATATCAAAGTCATGGGTGCTTACGTGCGTAATAACTGGGTTAGGAAACAGCTGGACAGCTTACAGAGACTTAAATCTTGCAGGCAGTGTCTTCAGGTCACATACGTGGGATTTAAGGATAGTTTTGTCAACGATAAGTTTCCAAGTATTGTTCTGGGGAACATGCTGAGTTATAGGCCTGAGTCTACAGTCCCTGATCACGCAAATAGATCCATTATCACTCAGAGCACTTAAGAGCACTCAAGAGTATGGCTGCAGCATCGGACTGTAAATTATCAGTGTGTGCCAAAAAGCCTCATGCAGAAAAACAGCTATGGTTTTGTCAGATGTGGACACCCTAGGTATTTCAGTGCTAATGGTTTGTGTGCTGTGCATCTCGTTCTCTTTGGTTCTTGTAAAAATCATTAACCTGTGCTAGCATTTTGTAGGGTTTCATATTGTGGTCTGCAGTATTATATCTTCTTAGAACAAAACTCAGTGTGTTCATTTAAAGGATGTTTACTATTAAAAAAGTAACGAGAGAAGCCCACGCCACTGGCAGACACATCTTTAAAAATTTATAACCAGTTACATACTATGTGCATGGTAGCAGTACCTTGGGATTGTAGTGATGGACCAGGGATCATCTGTGCTAGTCGGTGCATAAACACGCAACGGAGAGATGGTCTCTGCCCACATGATGTTTAACCTTCATCAGCTGCTCTGCTGGGTGCAGCTCTCTCCTCTAATCCAGCCTTCGTTCTTTCCCCTTCTGCGTTTCTTTTGGGGTTTACATCTGTGTGTAATGCAGTTTGAGAAGGACTGTTGTAAAACTATTCCCTTGCCTAAGAAAAGTCCTCCAAGCTTTTCAGCAGCTGCAGAATTAATCACACATAATAATTACATCCGTACATGATCATTATTACACCAGCAGCATATTAACCCCATTAAACAAATACAATAGCATTAACGCTGGAAAAGACAGGAGGGAGAGAACAAGCTATCAGGATTTCTATTGGGAACAGGAGAAATTCTTACAGTAAAGACTTGTCTGAAAACAAATATCTACCTGAGCCAGAGATAATGCCAAGAAGTATGGAAGTTGCTCCCATAGGAAAATTAGGATCCTTACACGATATTTGTTCCTCTGGTATCAGAATGCTTGAAAGCCATTAGTGGATTCTATTTTATCAACTAGTTTGTGAGGGAAGGAAAGTTGTTATCCCTGTTTCGTTCCTGGAGAACTAAGGCACAGGTTAATTTCTTTACTTGCTCCCACTCAGACCAAGAAGCTGAGTAAAAAAATAGCTTTTAACCTGCGTATCTGGCACTGCACAGAGAGCTTGCTTGAGCTCCTAAAGCTTTGTAATTCATGTTCCCATCTCATCAGTAGTAAAAGGGGGATCTGTACCAGGGCGAGCTGGGGCAGATTCAGTCCAGAGTGCTTGGTTAACAGAGCAGTAGAGGTGCTGGGCTGGTGCTCACTGCTGAGTACTTGCTGGTCACTGTAAGCTTGTACAAGACCACCTTTCCTTCTGCATCTTTTTGTTGCCCATCCTTGAATACAGCTTGAACAAACTTACAGTGAGATGAGCTGAGAAAGTTTTGTTCAGGGTAGTAAAGATGAGGCCAGCTGCGAGGAGCCCCAGAAGGATGTCTGGTAACGAGCAGCTGGGCAGTGAGGTGGAAGCTGAAGTGTGGATGAATTTAAGGT